AATAACAATTTTTTGGAAAAAAAAATACACAAAATGCCATGAATTGCTTCATGGCAGAATAGCTTTCTGTCAAAAAAAAAATCAAATTCTTTTTTAAAGAAAGCTGACTACCGGTGCTGAGAATTGGAGAAAATCATACATTTGGAAATTTTGGAAAATTGGGAAAATTGGGAAAATTGGGAAAATTTCTCAAATTTCAGAGCGGATCTCAACCCTCGCCGCAGTCACCTGACCACTACTGTCGTTTGAGTGGAGTTTAATGGCCCAACCTTGGGCGAAGTGTAATAAAGTTAAATCTCCATGGAAATTGAGGGGAAGGCCGAACATGAACAAATACCCTCAGTGCATCTGGAGTATACCACCCTAATGTGGTTAGTTATACCTGCATCCATGTAGGCATAACGTTGCGAGTTTCGCAACGCGTGTCGGTTTCATCCTTCCCACGCGCAATCGAATCTCCAAACATTTAGGAAAGTTAGTCTGCATGTGCCGGATCAACTCTCAAGTCTAGAGTCTAGACTTTTGGTGTTCACATTCATTGATTTACCGAGGTCATTCAACTGGAGTCGAACATTCAGAATTTATGCAAGGGGTTCCCGATTCGTTCACTATATCAACAAAAAAAATTTAATAATCGGACAAATGTTTTCATTTTTTTTTACTTCCCAATAGATTTTGCAATCGATAATTGAAGAAGTCCAAAAATTATTTTGGGATTATTTGTTTTTTTCTCTTACTAGAATCCGTACCGCGCGCCACCGCGCGGATATGAAACGATTTCTGTAAAAAAGTTACGACTTTGTAATCTCGCGCCATTTTAAACGGACCAATAAGGAATCGTGGCTTCATGATTTCGAGATTTTCGAGATAATCGATTGTGCCAAGCGTGTCCCTTTTAGAATAGGATTAGCTTAAAGATGCTTTTCATTTTCATTTTTTTATTTTTATTTTTTGAGTTTATTATCTAGAAATTCATAGAAAACGCTTCAGGCATCAGCAGAGCTGTCGATTGGTTGAGGAACCTATTCCTTCCTATCACCATTATTTTCAATTAATGATTTTTCAGGATTATTGTTGATATCATTTAATTGTTTTGACTATTCAGAAGCATATTGCTAATTTATTATGAAAAATAACTACAGTATACACAATGAAAGGGGAATTCCTCACTTAAATTGATTCAAGTGTTATTGGATATGGGAGATATAAATAATACTATAAAGCCGTGGATTAAACTTAAATTCTTTATTCTCAAAAATGGCACGAGGAAGAAACGTCTGTCCTCTACGGAAATCTCGAGGAGACTAAAAACTAGTCACAAAGACGAGAAACAAATCCGTCACCTAATGAATGAACTCTCTGTTCTTTCTTCCTCAGAAATCATTGTTAATGTTTATGTAGCCTCTCAAGTGACTTTCAGTCAACATCCATATCGATTCATTTTTGTAACAGTCACTTAAAGAATAAATTAAACTCAATAATCCAACAAGTGTTGCACTTATTTATTTCTCTCTCTTTTATCTTGAGGAATAGAGATAACGAACGAAGTTGAGAGACGGTGAAGAAAAAAATTAGCAAGAAAGAAAGAGGAAAGAACTCAGACGACTGAACGATGGATGACTGAATAAGTGGATTCGATTGAGTTCCACGAGGAAGATTATAAGATTGGCACGATCGATGAAACAGAAGAGAGGAAATTCAAGGGAATCCCCGAGTCTTACCAGAAAGAATAAAAACTTGAGAACTCGTTCACAATTTATCATCCCCCAGAGAATCGAGGATAATGAACGTAAATTTCCATTTGAATAATAAATGTCGTTCTCTTGGGACTGATGAGTCCCATTGAGTCGGATTGAAGCAATACAGTCCGCGCGACAGCCCGTGAAATATAGATTCCAATTTTCGTCTACTCTCTTTTTATGTTGTGCTCGATAAAAATAATAGAAGAAAAAAAAATGACCACTTGTTAGGAGCTCGTATATCAATCCAACGCCGTTGGTCCAATTCTACCTCTCAAGGATACCAAAAAACATCAATTGAATTGTACGTGCTCCACTGAACCCCGAGTTCGTTATTGAATAACCGAATTGTTCAAGTATACAATATTGAATTACGTATAAAACGTCTATTTGTAAGCTGCAAATGAGATTTACGATTTGCAGACATCCCCCGGTGTACCCCAACTCTTGATTAATTTTCTAGTCCTCATTGAATATTTATAGACTATTAAAAGTTTTTGGCGAGAATTTGCACAATGAAATAATAAGATCTTGTGGCGATCCGGGGAAAGCGGGTGCAGGGGCAAAATGGAATGGGGAGGGGGTTCGATGAAGGAGGAGGGGGAAAATCGTTCGTAAGAATCGATTATTCAAGAATCGATTTCAGGTTTTCAAGAATTTTGTTACAATTGATTTGATTTAAAAAAATGTTAAATTTTCATATTGAGGAAATTTAATGTTTTAAAAATTGAAAAAATTAAGAAAACAATAAGAGTGTAATTAAAAAAAAATTAATTTACAAAAAATACCGGGACTGTTTCCAACATTTTTCGACGACAAAAAAAAAGGATTACGGGAATGAAATTGATTGAAAAATTAAATGGATTACGGGAATAAAAAAAATGTTAAAAACGCTTTTGCACAAGTGTCCCATTTTGCCCCCTACATGACAAAATATTCCATATATTCACTCACACTTTATAATTCCATGATAAAAGTACCTGGAACCTCCACTGAGATCGATTGAAAAAATTAAATTGCTTAAAAGTAAATAAAAAAAACTTTTAAACTGTTATTAAAAAAAAAAACGACACTTTTCGTTACAGGATTTTTTAAAGAGGGATAATACTTCAAAAAAATCCATGACCAAAGTACACACCTGAAACCTACACTGAGATCGATTGAAAAAATTAAATTGCTAAAAAGTAAATTAAAAAAAAATTTAAACTGTTATTTAAGAAAAAAAACGATGACACTTTTCGTTACAGGATTTTTTAAAGAGGGATTATACCTAAAAAAATCCTTGTCAAGCCGATTTTCCTGCGTAAATATCCACTCGGAAAACTTTTCCACAGCCGTAGTAGCTGTGGAAATTCAAGGGAATTCATGATGCACCGTAAACCCAGTGAATAATTGATCACCAGAGTCATCCGTTGATTTTCCATTTGAAAGCTAAGCAGTAATCCTCGTTATAACATTTCCCCTCATCAGTATGCATGATATAAAATATATCCTAAAGCCTTTGTAGTAAATGTCACCTCAATACATCAACCAGACTGCGATCTCCACCGCTAAAATAGTCTTCCGAATGAGATATACCAGAGGACGATGAACATGCCAATAAGGAAAGGGAGTGGAATTGGTTTTCAGTAAGTCAAATGGTGAAGCTAAATCTGCCGATGAGGAGAATACCGCAGATGGTTAAAATGGCTCAAGAAAGTGCCTTCCAAGCCCTGGAGTAACGATTCTCCGTGGCAAATCGATAGGTACAAATGTGGGTATGCGGACACACAAGATGAACCATCAACAGGGAATAGAACATAAAGAGCCGTTAGGGGATTACGAGACTTGTGGAAATTCAATCAGTCGTTGAATTACTGTTGCTGTAAATAATCCGTGTCTACGTCAGTTGTTAACTATTATTGCACCACAAAAAACACTGAAATCCCAGAGGAAAATTTCTCTCGATTATTTTGTTATCAACTTATCATCTTTTGATTATATAATAATTATATAATATATTAATGATTATATAAAAAATTATATAATTGTATTTTGTCATTAATTACTCTTAATTATTTTTATTTATTCATTTTATATTCATGGAATTTTTACGAGATTCATTGCTTTTTTTATTAAGCCGTCAACGTAAATTTAACTCTGAATTTTTCATTGTTTTTATTCTCTCAGGATGTTAGCATATTCGTAAGTAACATTAAATCTGACTGAATGCGCTCCATAAAATTAAACTTCCGCTATAATCTGAGACAAAACCCGTATTATTTCCCATGTCATCCAAAATCCTTCTTTATTACATTTTTTCCCACGTCTATAAAAATTCTTCATGTTCCAATAAACGCGTGGAAGATTGAAAAAGAGAAAAATGGACTCATCATTTCAATAATTAAATCCCCTAGACCTCTAGACGGGAGATAAATTTACCAATAAATTAAATTGTAATCAAATTTCCTGTCGGAATTTTCCTGAGTGAAGTGACACTTTAGTTCATTCTCACGTCAACCGTCACTCAATATGTCATCAATTTTCATCACCACGGGAAAATCGAAGCTGTTTTTTATCGTTTTTTATAACTCGAGTCTCAGATTATAATCGCGGGACTTTCCCATAAGTCCCACGAATAAAATCCGAGAAGGCAGAGATATTATAATTTTATTTGGGGTATTCATTCCCGAATTGAGTGACACCACTTCAAATGAATTCCGTCATGATTTCGGTAATTGCAAGGGGGAGGTGATTTCGGTGACTTCAAGATTCAGAATCAATGACTTCATGACTTCAAATGACTTCATTTGATTTCAATTTTGTAGTCAACGATTGCAGTTAAAATGAAGTCATCGAAATCACAACAAATATAATTCGAGAGAATAATGAGACAATTATCGTAATTAAACTCTTTATTAACACACTCGTTGTGTTTTTATTTTTGACACGATGTCTAGGACTCGTCGACCTTGCGACGTTTAGGCGAATGAGTCGACTCTCAGAAAAATATTCGTAGAGAGGGGCTTTGTTTTGTTCTGCTAAGCGTTTAGAGAGGATTTATTTTCGGTGCGAAATTCAAACTATAACTATATTCAAGACCAAGTGATATATGATTCCACTGACAGCTAGCGATTTCAGTGATTTCAATTGATTTTAGAAATGACTTTAAAATTCATTTCATCCATTGAAATCACATGATTTCAGGGACTTCTGTTGATTTCAAATCGACTTCAAATTGACTTTTATGAGTCTATAGTTTCAAAAATGAATCAACATAGAGAGAGGTGTTAGGATTAAACATAAAGGGATAACAGGTCATAGAGAACAGACATTTCTCCCTCCTGCAATTTTTTATAAACTAAAATTAACGTATTTAATCCACTATGTTTAAATTATTTCTCTGCCCTTCCATATTCCCTTAAGATGTTTAGATTCTAGAGAAGACTTTGGATTTTACTCGAGTCATTCGTATTTTCATTTTGGTGATAAAACCTTAAGAGTCTTGATGACAACATGTCATTCATAGCACGTCGTATATGCAAACATTTGAATTCCAATGGAAAAGTTTTTAAAAAATGTTACAGCTGAAACGTGTGTCAAAAGGCCATTGACTAGAACAACTTCCCCTCGTATCCAGTAACCAAACATCACGCTAACCCATGTACACGCACCTCCAATAAAATTTCGCAATCACCGCTCGTTATTCACTACCAACGCAAAATCCCTTTCTTCTTTTACGACAAAATTTCATATGTTCTTTTCCTCTTCGAGTCTGCTATTTATTCCTCCGACTTTTGAAAATAACCCAGAGCTAAATTGCCCCCACAAAATCATTCTGCCTCACGAATTTCCATTGTCATTACCTGCCATCGACTATTCTGTTATCTCCAGGTGTTAACCCACGTAATCGTGGAAATTCAGACTAAATTGCCCGTGAATATCTTTTCTCCTCCTGTGGCGTCAGGGAAAATTATCGGTTTAAATCACACGGAGGGAAAACTTTCTTCATGGTTGGAAAAATTATTCTGCAGTCGAGGGAAAGAAATTCTGGCGCCGAGAGAATTTTTTTTTTCTGATAAAAATTAAAACTTTTTCTTCATGAAATTTATTTCTTATTTTATTCAAATTGTTTACGCGAATTTGATATTTTTAAAGAATTTTAAAGCTTTTGTGACGGCTTGCTATTTTTGAGGTAACTATTTTCTCAGAGATATTTGTTTGGAGGAAATTTTTGACGAGTTTTTTAAATCGGGTAAACCGACGTATTTACGTACGACCAAAGCCCATCACCTAGGTTTCAATCCAGGTTTTTGTGGTGTCGTCGAGGGGTGAAACCTCACCCTGAAGTCGTCTCCTCCGTCATAAACCACACGAATACTCCCACAACCGCCGATTCAATTCACTTCCCTCTTTGGCACTCAGTGGAATTGTAAATTCCTGGTTCATCGATCTCGAAGCCAGATAAACTTCAATCGCACTGGGTTCATCCGATTGGGGGTGTCAAAATCGACAACCTCTTCAAAAAGGTTCGACATTATTTTTCATTATGTATACACGGAGAGAAATATTTAGTAAAAATTACGGAACTTTCAGTTCACTTACCGATTACGGAGTTGATTCGAAAAATTTAAGTGACGGTATCGTTATTTTTCACCGATAATTCAGATAAAAATTACGGAACACCGCGAAGAAATTCCGTGACTTCAGATAAAAATTACGTGACAGTTTCGTAAAATTTCCGACAACCACATTTCGCTCCAGAATTACGGAAAATACACGTAATTTTTATTGAATATTTCTCTCAGTGTACCTATCAATTCGAAAATTTTTTATTTATCATATTATTTATTTTTAATGTACCTATCAATTCCGAAACTAGAAGAACTAATCAATATTTCAAGTTCATCCAATGAATATGACTTCGGAATAATTTTTCAAAAAAGAATCCCGAAGAATGCAGAATGCAGAATCTGATGCACCAAATGAACATGACAATTCCATTTTCCCGCCTGCGGTTCGAATGCGGTTATCGGACATGGGTGTAAAGGAAATTAAATTCCAACTGCATCGATACGTTTAAAGATAGATACCCGTACCACAGCCCGAGGCTACAAAATCGTCGATTCGGAAATATCGGGAAATCCATAGCGGTGAACTTGGCTAAATTATTGGGTTAAATATTGAAAATTTAATTGCACTCGCAGTGCGCAAATATTTGTCGAATATAACGGAGAGAGAGATTTACTCATGCGAAAAATTGTATAAAAAATTCCGATCCCTCAGCAGAATTCGTCCCTAGGATAACCAAAAAGCCAAATTCAATAGAGATTCTTCATATTGAGTGTTATCGAAGCTATTCAATTTAAAACTTGGAAAAAGGTATTGGTGGTTACATACCTGGTAATTCCAGAAAATTGGAAGTTCTTCTCTGTCGTCCCCTCGGATGAGCGCTGAAATTCAAGGGTCCAATATCCTCATTGCTGACATTCGAGAGATTGGACGCCTGACTATCGCGAGATCCACGTCTCGATGCCAGATAAGCTGTCAACACAAATAAGGTACACCATTAGTGAAGTAGTCTAATTGATCTTCAGTTACTACTGTCGACAAGTCCGTGCCATCACATAAGAGAGATAATGTATCATCACTGGATTACACTGGTTAACCCAGAGAACACGAGTCACAGATTATCCGTGATCCATTGGCTTTGAAGTTTCACGTGCTCACTACAGCTCATCAATTACTCT